TCGCCAAGTTGCCCAGGTGGGTCTCGAACCCACGGGCTCAGGCAATCCACTCAACTCAGCCTCCCAAGGCGCGGGACTACAGGCTGAGCCACCCAAGGCGCGGGACCAAGCCTGACTAGTTTACTTTTTAAAATCTTAATTTCTTCTTTATCCAAGTGCATGCTGTAAAATAATGTATTGCCTGAGTATTAAGTAACTGTTAATATCCAGAAAACAAATATTAGCAGCAAAAATGTAGACAGGCTAAAATTATTGAACCTGGTAGAGATGTGGTCTGTCCTCTGTTATTAGCTAAAAGTACTCCAGTTTTTGGGTAAATCCATAAATGCTCTATACTCTGAGATTTTTATAAAGATGGCTATTGGCAGAGATACCTTGCAAGTAAAAACCTTGTAACTAAATAAACCTTTATACTTCCTGGGAAATTTAATTATCAAATCCTTTATCTGTATGAAAGAATAGGAGTTTTGGGAGTTGTGAAGAGAGCTAGTCTATTTCCTGTAACTCTTTGAGTTGCATGAATATTTCCATAGAGCCAGAAAGTAGAAGTGGACTGAATATTTTAATGTTTTTCTTGAAGTGTTATTAATATGTATTAAAGTTTGTCATTTTTATGTGACCAATACAACAATTTAGAAATATAAATATCTATTCTCAAGTTTCTTTATTTTTGCCTCATTTTTAAAAATGTAAATGAAAGAGATAGGGGTTTGTGATTCTTAACTCTGTATACTGTGTGTGTATTTGTGAGTGTGTGACAGATGACTTAGGTTTTTCACAAAATGTGAAGTATTGATAGCTTCATATTACCTATAGATCTATTTAATACTTAAAGCAATTATAAAGATGAGTTACAGCTTTGGGAATCATTACTTAAGGACTTGCTATGGAAAAATGAGTGATATGAAACAAATGAGGTAATATTCTTGGGGTATCTAAGTAATTGATAATCATTCATTTCTTAACTACCACAAATACCATTAAGAAGGGATTAGTAACCTTTATAATAAGCAAATTTTTACTGTTCATACATTATTTCTGTAGTTTTTATAGTTACCTTATCTTTAGAGTGATTTTAATTTGATAACATATCATTTTAAGTAGCACATTAAATTGTTTTTTAGATGTTTGTTTTCAGGCAGTTTTCTACAAGGATATAAAAGGAAATAAGGTTGTTATCAGCCTTAAGCAATAACAAAAGTCAACAGGTGCATTATGCTC